ACCATTTATTAATCTACTTTGTTCAAGGCAGTTTATACACATAAATTTCTGTTATTTCTAGCATGAGCCTGCATCCATTATGCTATTATGTTGGGTTTTGCATATTTTTTATTTATTTTGTTAAATCCTTCCTAATCACATGTAAAAAATTTATATTTGTTTTTTAATAATTTGAGCTCCAAATTCTCTACCTTCTTCCCTCCACTCTCCTACCCAAACAATATGCTATCGATTATACATGTGAAGTCATAGAAAACATATTTTTATAGTAGCTATGGATGTTGGATTGTGTCGGTCATATTTCACTTTTTTCTTAAGGGCTACCAAAGAAATCTACTGTCTCATGTTTTCTCTTATATGTATCGAAGTATGTGGAGATAACAGTAGCTTTTAAAAATAGGAAGTAAAAACAGCTAGTCTAAAATTAAATGGCACCCTTTTTTTTTTTAAACCTTTTGTCTTCTATACCTTATGTCATGTTTTCTACTAAGGTATCAACCCTGACTCTCTTATATTTATAAATGTACTTGGAGGCTAGTATGCAATGGACACAGCAAATAAATTCTAATAATTCTTTTTCTTTTGGCCCTTACACATTTCTTCTGGTCTAGAAAAATATGGTGGTGGTGGTTAGTGGTAGTTTTTCAGGAGTTGAGGAAGGGAAAAGAAATTACTTGAAAATGATAGAACCAGAAAACTTATTCTGACCTTTCCCCATCAACTGCCAATGTGTTGTATTCCTTTGATGTGTCTTGCTTTTGTCTAATGTCTTTACTTTTGTGTTTGGATAAATTGTTACAAAGTCATTTTAAATGTTTTCTTTTTTTGTGGTCAGGATAGGGTTGTCTTAATATGATATATGTTAGTAGTTAAAACATTTCACTTAGGAAGTTTTCTGCATATTCCCTATGGTATGCAGCTTAGTTTTTAGTTAAAAATATTAGGTAGATAAAGAACAGTGCAAAAAACAAAAACAGACAAATTTTTGTTAAAAAAAAAATCACCATCTTACATTTAATTGGGATGTTCTATAATGTATGGTTTCTATGTAGGAGGATAGTCTAACAGGGATGGGGAACCCATGGCCCCAAGGCCACGTATGGTATTCCAGGTGATTGGTTGCAACATTTTCACTGAGTCCATGTTTTACAAAATAAAACCTTTTATTAAGGGGATTTTTCTGTAAAGTTTGGAATCAGGCAAAGGGCTGCACTTGAGCACCTAGAGGGCCACACAAGTACATACATATATATGTGTGTATGTATGTATACAATTTTTAAATTTCATCAAGTTTGCTGTTTTTTTTTCAGTGATCACTGGTCAGCATCTTACCATTTCTCGTTAGGTATGTCAGAAGGTATAAATTTGCTCAAGAATAATTTCTTTTTCCCCCAATATCAACCTCAAAGTCTTAATGGTTCCCCAGTGTCCCCTTTGGCATTCTTTGCCAACATGGAATACTAGCCATCATCTCTGCATAAAGCAAGGCAGCCTGTGGTTAATTTAGCCACTACTGCTGATCTTTTCTTAATCTCAAGGAGGAACAAAGTAAATTTTGTGAATGTTTGACTAACCTTTGATTATTAATATAAAGAAGGTGTTAAATGAAAACATCTCTGCCTTAACCTAATCCTTAATCTGTACATAATGAAAATACATTTCTGTCCGTCACCAATTATTTTAATATTCTTTATTTTACTGCCCTTTTTAAAAAATTAACTTTTTATTTTTATTTTCAGTTCCAAATTTGCTATTACTGCCCTCTTTTGCTATATATGTATGTGTGTGTGTATATGTATATATACCCTTTATTATCTTGAATTTGTAGAGTTTTAAGAAAGCAAGAGCCCAAATCTCTAGTTTTCTTAGTCTTGGTACAGTTTTAAGCTACTGAAACTATTTTGAGATACTAAGGCTTATATCTTCACTAAGACTTTGAGACAATCTATGTGTCACAAGTAATTAGGTGCTTAAGCTCTTTGTTATTATTGTAAGTTATGAATTATTTATGACCTAAAAAAACCCTAAAGGCTTAGAGAATATATTGCTGGACTTGTAACCTGGAAGACTTTGGGTCATATGCTTCTAACACTAACAACCCTGAACAAGCTGTTTAACTGCTATATGTTTTAGGTGTCTTGCTAGGATATACCTGCTAAATCAGAGACCACTGGAACCTCCACCCAGGTTCCAAAATGGTTCCTCAAGTGCTGGTCTGACTATATTATTATGCAACCCAATAAACTACTTTGGCTCCTAGATCAATCAGTAAACATTTGTTAATTGTCTTCTATGTGTCAGGCTCTGAGCTAATCACTAGGAATACAAAAAGAGGTAAAAGATAGTCCTTGCCCTCAAGGAGCTTACAATTTAATTTACACCTTTATCTCCTCAAACCACCTTCTCTCTTATTGTTGTGATTACCATACTCCAGTGTCTGGCAAGACTGTCTTCTTGCTGTTCTTCATTCATTTACATTCTCTGTGCCTTTGTACTTGCTGCGCCACCATGCCTGGAAATCACTCTTAGGTGCCCTTTAACTTTTAGAATACATTATTCTCTTCAGAACTTTGATCAAGCATCACCTTCTTTATGAAGTCTTTCTTGATCCCTGCCTCTGTTAGTGCCCACCATCTCAACTTATTTTGTATATTTTTATGGCCTCCAAGTTTCTTGAGGACAGAGACAGTTGTATTTTTGTGTTTTTTTATCCTCAGTGGCCAGCATACTGTCTGGCATGTAATAGGAACTTAATGATTGATTGATCTGCACAGTGGAGGAGGTTTCCACACCAGGAATTCCTTACCTTGATGAAGTCACAGATGTTTCAGGTACTTCACACAGGAAAACTAAGGAACTACGAAAATCTCTTATCAATTGATTTCAGTCCCTATGTAGGAACCTACCCATTTGAAGCTATGTGGACCCTATCTGCAAATGGTCAGGTTGCAGATTGTTCCATCCTAAAGGCCGAGAGTTAGGACAGGGGTATTTGAATGATTTTAGTTTTGCAAATGTTGGTCTCTCCAACTTGAACTAGTAGGTGGAACAAAACCACATGAAAAGATGCTTGGTGGAGACACTCATTTAGACTTTGGTGCATTGACTTTGAAAGAAAATGGAAGGCTGGTGTAATGGCACATCCTTATATTCCCTGCTACTTGGGAGGCTGAGGTTGATGGATCTCATGAGCTCAGGAGCTGTGATCTGCAGTGGGCTGAGCTGGTCCAGTATCTGCACTAAATCTTGCATTAATATGCTGAGTCCCCACTAAGGATTGGTGAAGCAGCCCAGGACAGAAACAGTTAAAGCTGTATAATCAAGCTATAAATAGCCACTACATTTCCAGCCATTGCCAGATAGGGAGACCGCCAGTCTTCTTTTGTTTTTTAAAGGTAGCCAAACTGGTTTCATAATTTTTGGAAACAGCCCATCTGGCCTAACTTCAGACTGGGATCAGTACTAGACCACTGATTTCATTGGTACTGAGAACTCTGAGTTGAGGAAATTCCCTCTACTTAGTTGACACCTTCTCTGCAATTTATATTCTTAGAGAGTTGCTTAGAGCAAGGAGCGATTAAGTAATTTGCCCCTGGTCGGTCATTATGTGTTAAAGGTGGAACTTAAACTTAAACCTGGATTTTAGTGGCTTCAAGGCCACTGCTCCATCTACTAGCTGGCGCTATATAGTATATAATATATAATCTACTTAACTTTTTGCTTACTTATTTGCAGTTATATGATGCATATAGTAAGACTTGGCCTTGCATCCAGTCTGTTCTTTATGTAAAATTACTTTATTACTTTATTACCCAGTGCACTTGTCCTAATGAGTCTCATGAGATGTTCATTTCTTTTAGAATGCCCACTTCCCCCAGGGAAACAATTAAAAAAACAACAACCCCAAAAGAATGGTGAGATGACTATAGTAAAACATTTTCTGTTATGACTACCAATAGTTTTTCTTAATGTTATAGTCTATACATATTAGTGCTATGGCAAGTCTCTCTTTTCAGCTCTATGCCATTATCTTATAAATATCTCGACTCTGACTTTACAATGCTGTTTATAGAATTTAATAAGGCAAATGTAATAATGCTGCCTGTGTTTTAATGTACAATCTCAATTGAGTTGACCACAAGATAAATACAAACAGAAACGATAACTTGTTCCCACATATTCTTTTTAATAAGCATGTTATTTAGTTGATCAGCTTCCTGCAATAATGCCTTCTATCCCAGTCTCCCAGACAAATTGGCTAATGCTTTCTCATGCTTTTACTCTGGGAGTATTGGTTCCCTGAAGATATCTCTGTATTAAACTTGTAGAAAAGCCTAACTTCTGTATTAGGTTAAGTAGAGAAATAGGACTATAAAGGACTTAAGAAAGGTGAAGTTATTATGGAATTCATGTTGCATTGTTTCAGAGAGGAACTTTTTTGTAATGAGCAACGGGAAGACCTTTGACATAACAAAAGTACAGTTTTGCATTTAATTTCTGGCATGTGCCTTTATGAAAAAAGAAATATGGTTTAATGTGAAATACCACTAATGAGTCAAATGTACATTTTTTGATACACTCATATGCTTAAGCCCACAAAATAAAACTATTTTTTTGGTGGGTTATTTTTTTTTAAGTTGTTCGTACCTCGATTGGAAGTAAAATCACTTGTCATGCCAGCTAGCAGTTGCAAAATGCAGACCTTCATTCTGTAACTGCCTATTTCTCATTTGGTTCTGACATATTAAAAAGCATATAATTAATGGTTGACATTAGTAATTAACATTAACTTTATGGTGCTTAATATGCCATCATTCATCCATCAAATAACCAAGGTGCATTAATGTCTTGGCATAAAGGTTTTAATTATATAAAACGGTCCTTCAGTTTTCATATGGAATATTTGAAAGAAGCCCAAAATGTATTAACAAAAAAAAAAGGGAAAAAAGATTTCTATAAGCATTTGTTGAGAGTGAGTGGTTATTTTTATTTCTCCTTAGGAGTGTGTACCAGCAGTCATGCAGGGAACTTCCAGGGGAGAATGCAGGCCTGAGTGTGCCAGCCTCATCGGTGGCTAAAGAGCACCACCTGGCTGCAATTGCCCGTGCACTCTGGAGAAATTTCTTTCCTTTCCTGAAGAGCCAGAGAATGTCACAGACGGTGCCTATCCCTCAGCTTGCAGATACAGCTGCAGGTCAGCATTTACCCTTTATTTAACTGTTGGGTATTTACTTTCCTCCTTACACACTGCTGTTGTTTTGTCAATGTATTCTTGTCTCCACTAAGTTTCTTACTGTTGTAGCCATTTGAATGTTAAAACATTTTGACAACCACAAAAATGGAGCTGCCTATTTTAATAGGATCCTTTTATTTTTATCCAGCTATAATTTAGTAGAGACAAGGCTTGTTTTTGCCTGAAATGAAAGGTATTATTAGTAGTATTGATAAAACTACTAGTGATGGCAACAATTCACATTTATGTAGGGTTTTAAAGGTTTATAAAACACCTTTCTCACAACATCCCAAAGCTGCTCTTCTGCATCTGAAGAAAATTTTTATATTTAAAACAACAGTTTGATTGGTATCTCATGTTGTTTTCAGAAAGTATCATCACTGTGAAAGCAAATGATTTTTACAGTTGAATTGCATAAATCTATACCCAGGCTTAAGCAGGTTATTTTGCATGAAAAGCTATTCTGCATGGAACATAGAGCAGTGGAAATAACATTGTTCACTACTTACATGATCTTGGGCAAGTCACTTAACCTCTATGGGCCAATAGTATCAATACCGTTAATACTTGTAAAATGAGGAGGTTGGACTAAATGATCTTGAAGTTACTTTCTGCTCTAAATTCATGATCCTATTCATGCAGCACCTGAAATAATTAACAAGAATACCAATCAAATTCTAAGAAGTTAGGAAGGTAGTGGTAGTAACAGTAATAGTAGTGGTGGTGGTAGTAATACTAGTAGTGATTTTGCACAACCTTCCCTCACTTAAGTCCAACTCACTGGCAAGTCATGGCATCACCTTCCTGATGTCATGGTCCTCTTTGATAATGAAGGACAAACAGTAACCTGTGAGTAGTAGGAGCTGCCCCACTGGCGACTCAACTGGCCAGTTCCATTTGTGCAGCACAGCTCCTTCCTTCCTTCCTTCCTTCCTTCCTTCCTTCCTTCCTTCCTTCCTTCCTTCCTTCCTTCCTTCCTTCCCCTTCCCCTCCCCCCTCCGCCCTGTCTCCCTGTCTCCCTCTTTTCCCTCTGTCCACATAGGGTATCATACCCTTACCTGCCAGTGCTCTGCCCAAATTTTTGATTGCTGAAACCTCGACAGATATCTTGGGGTTTAAGGGCTAGGTTTCCTTATTAAGGATCATGCCTTAAACCCAAATCACTCTGGCTCTCATTGACTGGCCAATGATAGGTCCCAGTCCAAGCTTCACTGGGTTACTGTTTAGTGCTGAGGCTCAGAGTGAGTATAAATAACAGTTGTTTCTGTTTTGGTCTTTCTGTCCCAGATTGTTTTTTTTTTAAACTAGGTAAAACAGGCCATTCTTTGCTTCATTTCTTACCTAGCCTTAATCACTGAATGGGTATTGCCTCACTCAAACTGAGACCTGGGAAAGACCTTTTTATTTTTTTTAAGGCAGTTGGGGTTAAGTGACTTGCCCAGGGTCACACAGCTAGTAAGTGTTAAGTGTTTGATCTGAGGCCGGAGTTGAGCGCAGGACTCTTGACTTCAGGGTTGGTGCTCTATCCACTGCGCCACATAGCTACCCCTAGAAAGATCTTTATTTAAAAAGGCCGAGGTCTCCCACTGCATCCGGGGCTGCCTCCAGGCACCCTAATCTGCATCTTGTTACTGGACTCAGATGGCTGCTGAGGGGAGTGAGGCTGCTGACTTTACCCAGCCCTCCCTTGCTTAAATTCAGTTCACTTGCAAGTTGTGGTATCACCTTCCTGATGTCATGGTCATCTTTGAGAATGAAGGACAAACAATAAGAAGTAGTAGTAGTGGTAGTAGTAATAGTAGTAGAAGAAGAAAGTGATGAATAAAAGTGTTGGCATGATAATCCTGTATTATATTTGTTATGATTTTATGACATAAAATTTAGATTTTCAAAACTGTGAGCACTTAACAAATAAAAGCAAGTAAATTATGGAATGTAAGTAAATTATTCTCAAATAAAGCATAAAAACTTGAGCTACTTACATTTTAACTAGAACAATGATAGATAGGATATAAATTTTTAAAACTAATTATTTTGTTCCTCCTTTTAAAGCCATCTATAACATTTTAAGAATTGTTATTTTATTTTTAATTTTATTTTCATTTAAACATATTTGTTGAGGGTTTCAGTTTCTTTTTCATTAGCCAGAGGCTTAAATGTTTTTGAAATGAAGCACATTTTGGAAAATGGTGGCTAAAATTTGTTTTTTTTACCCTGATATAACTAAGCAAAGATGAATTAAAAGCTCCTTAGATTGAAGAATGCAAAATTTGAGAGCTCTTGTGTTATTTTCCTAATAATATCTTTAGAATAGATTATATAAGGTAATGGTATCATGCTATGGAAGCACTTATAAAAATGAATATCACACTTAGTCCGGTAGAACTGTTTTACAAATCAGCCTTTACCAGCACTTTGAGTCTTTTCTCCTTAGTTGAACACCTCATTCCTTACTGTTCCAGGTACTTTACATGCATTCATCAATTTTTGCATTATACAAGACTATGCAAAAATACAGCCTAGGTTCTAGTGGATTGGCATACTGATCAATCCATCAATCCATAAGTATTTATTATATACCTACTATGTTCTAGGTACTGTGCAGAGTAATGGGGATGTAAATACAAGATTTAATGGAGAGTTGGAGAGAAAGAATACTTAAAAGTATTTAAAGGGAATACAGCATTAATTACAAATTAATATAATGCAAACTGGAGAAAACGGGAAAGGGGTATTCAGTTGGATAGGGCCAGTTACAAGAGAGTAATGCCTGAAGGAAATGAGTTAGAGGTTGGTGTTTTGTTTTTTTAAGAACGTATAATATAGGGGCAGCTAGGTGGTGCAGTGGATAGAGCACCGGCCCTGAAGTCAGGAGGACCTGAGTTCAAATCCAACCTCAGACCAAACACATGACACTTACTAGCTGTGTCACCCTGGGCAAGTCACTTAACCCCAATTGCCTATTAAAAAAAATTAAAAAAAAGAAAGTATAATATAGAGTATCCCAAGCAGTTTTAGAGGAGCCAGTGTTGTGAGTAGAGAGAAATGACATTTGTGAAAGAGAAAGGTCTGTTGCAAAAGGCTTGGCTGAGTAATTCAGATTTGAGGGAACCTCTGTCAGTTCCTGAGTAAGTTGATAAACACTATCTTTGAATGGTTTATTTTCTAGACATAACAGAAAAGATGTGACACTGTAGCAATCAACCAAAATAAGACAGTTGCCTATTGGATTAGAGCCACCAGAGGATAACAATGTTTTCTTCCATTGTGCTACATATTAAAAAAAAACTATTAAAAATTGCATTTACTTACCACCATCAGTGGTAACTTTGAGGAAGAGGAGGAAGTGAACATCAAAACTTTTTTTAATAGCACCAAGAATTTCTCTTTATTCTAAATCTAGGTTTTACTTGTTTGGCTTTGGACATGTCCAGAACGGCTCCCTCGGACCTTCAGCCACAGCCAGTAATGTCAATGATGCAGTTATTTGGGTGGGACGATATGATTTGGCCCCAGCTTGTATCTAGATATTTAAGTCATCTTATACAAAACAAGTAAGTACTTTTCACTTCTTATTCCAGTCATATACTATAATTGAATTCTATGGTAGAGGAGTTGGGATGGGAAAAAAATTATTGACATCTTTTGTTTTTACATCACCTTCATTTCCATGTAGATATATATATCCCTCACCCCTCTCTACCCAGAGGGATATCTCATATAACAAAGAAAAAGGAAGGATAATCAAGTAAAACTGGTTCAGTAAAACTAACCAAGTCTGGCTATAAATTTATTCATCCATAGTCCCCCACCTCTGCAAAGAAGGGAAAGAGATATATTTCCTTAGGTCTTCTTTTGGGCCAAATGCTCCTGAATACACAGCATCTTTTGGTGGTTCTTTCCTTCTACGTTGCTAAATTGTTGTAGTCTTTTTGTGAGTTCCCTTGATGGTTCTACAGAATTCACTTTGTCTCAATTCATGTAAGTCTCCTCTAGTTTGTCTATGTTCTTCATGTTCACAGTTTCTCATAGTGCAGTATGAGTCCATTATGTTTACATGCTATAATGTAGTTAGCAATTCCCCAGTCAGTGAGCATCTACTTTCCCCCACCCCTATCTTTGCTATTACCAAAAAAAATAAATAAATACTTTTCTCCATATTGAGGCTTTCCTTCTATCTCCATCCTTATTGGGTTATATGCCAAGTCAAGTGGCTCAAAGGATATGGTCATTTGAGTCATTTTCTTAGGATAATTCCAAACTGTTTTCCAGAGTAGTGGTATGAATTTGTAGCTCCACTAGCATAAAATGTGAATTTTAAAAGAATATCTTTCATTCCTGTAATCATCTAATTCTCAGATCTAGAGCTGGAAGGGACCTTAGAAGACATCTGGTTCAGCTTCCTGATTTTTCAGATGAGGAAACTGAGGTCAGAGAGATGAAGTAATCTGCTTGATAGTCACACAGATATTAGGTGGCAGAGCCAGGATTTGAACCCAGCATCTCCGATTCCAAAACTAGTTTGTTTCCTCCTGAAACATGCTGCCTTCTGCACTGAACTTTTTCAAACATTCTGTTCCTAGTCACATTATCACTATAGCATTAATACCTGGAGGAAAGATAGGAATATATTTTATAGCATGATGTTCCTAAAAATTACTTTTAAAATTTTCTCGGGCCTGCTTTTTTCTTCAGTTCAGATCCATCAGAGTGGGTTTGCTACACCCCCCCCAAAAAAATTGAACTGTTCTACACTGAGTTATTACACATATTTCACATGTCATATAGATGATTTTCACAAAAAAATGAAACCCAAAGAAGCTTAATACTGGGCTTGTGTGTTTTCAGATTTGGTACCAACTGTTACCAGCATGGAACAAAAAATTTAAGGACTATAAATAATCTCATACTCCTTTACTGTGTGATTTCTCTGTTTTGAACCTCAGTTTGCTCCGGCTACAAAGTGAGGAAGTTGTTTTATTTGTCCTCTAAGGTCTGTTCCACTCTAAAATTCTGTGATTTTTTTTTTCCTGATATTTAGGCTCTCTGTGCAGGGCATGAGCAGGTTCTCCAGATCTGTTGTTTCATTTACCTAGGGAGCTCCTGATTAAGAAAGAGAACTTCCCCCAACACAAATCAGCCACTGTTCTGCAACATATAGTTTTAGAGAATTTAGAGAATGCTCAATGAGCATTGAGAGGTTGTCAGTCAATGAGCATTTATTAAGCACTTTCTCTTCCAGTTAGTAGTCCAGTAGTGTGAGTTAGAGGTAGGGCTTGAATCCAGGACTTTCTGACTCTGTGAGTGGTGCCAATTCAGATTTTTCTTTGCCTCATCTATATGTTAACTCTGATTTTTAGAAATGTTTGGTTTTTTTTTTGTAAGTCAGAAAGAGTGTTATCCTCCTTACTTTACATAAAAGTATGAAATAAAGCTTTTTTACTAAAATTATTTGAAGAATCACAGTTATAAAGAAAACTGAATTTGTGTGCATAGAATTCTTGTTTATAATTTTAAACAGTTTAAAAGTCAACTTAGAAAATCATATCTAGAACTCTGGGGATCTGTATAAAGGAAACTAATGATTATAATTCAGTCTTATATATAAAAACTAATATAATAACTAATATAAACTGATTAATTCAGCTACCATGAAAAGAATTAGCACTTTGCTTTGCAGTTATCTAATGCATTGATCATTTAACGTAATGTACTTTAATTATCTTTGTGTTTTAGCTTCCTGTGAGACTATAAAAGCCATGAAGGCATGTACTTTGTCTTAGCTAAACTTTGTGTCTCCCCTAACACCTAGTGAAGTGTTATACTTTGTTTAGGAGTTTTGTATCAAATGTACCGTAATGGGTGGGTGAAGATACCTGCTTTCTGTTTGTCTAACATGTTTGTGGCATTTGATATTTTAACTTTGATTTACATGTTTGGAGGCCAGCAGCTTATGGCCTTGCCTTCTTCCATCTAATTCCCTATTCTCTTTGCTTCCCTTCTTATGAGTTCAGGAAGTGGGGCCCAGACCAGAACTGAAGAACTACAGAACCCAAGACTCCCTCATCCCTGCCCCCTTCATGGTTGCCCATTGATACCTGCATTAAGTGGCACTATCTGGTCCTTTGAGGGTTGGGTTTGTTTTTTGGTTTTTTTTTTTAGTTATTGTTGAAATGAAACATGAGTGTACTTTAATAAATAAGAGGAAGAACAAAGTATATACTTCTACAAATCAGGTAACATGAAGTACCCTAGTGAATTACTAAATGTCATGGTGACGTAGACTCAAGATGTATCAGATCCAGCCCCAAAGAACTCAATCACCCCAAGAAAAATTTCAATAAAACAATTGATTCCTAGGAAGTCTAATATCGTAATGATTTACAAACAGGGCTGGATTTTCTCCAAAAACAGCTCAAGCAGATCATAGTTTGCCAATCAGTGGATGGATGTCCTAGGTATAACAATTTATTGTTTGTTTCCCACTATTATGGCTGCCCATCCCCATATCCACTCATATAGTATAGGCTAGCTTACTGTACATTTGAGCTTTGGAGTAATTTGATATTCTTTGTGATTTAGTTTTATCAGAATAAACTGTACTGAAAAAAGGAAATTTTTGAGTATTAAATGATGCTGACTTTTTACTTTAATGTGTCTCTACACTCTCTTTACTTTTCTACCCACTTACATTAAGAGTCTTTATTCTCTTCTTTAATGGTATGGTAGGGTAAACTGGATTGGGAGTCAGAAGCTCTATGTTCAAGTCTTGTCATGCCTGTTATAAAGTTATATTGTGCATATGCACATCTTTGGGCAAATTCGTCTCTTACCCTCATTTTCTTCACTTGTTAAAAGGAAGAGGTCAGGCTAGATCATAGATTTTCTGTAAGACCCCTTCTGACTCACATCTCTCGCTATAATCTCATAGATCTTTCCTACTCACAATTTTCTTATTACAATGCATTCAATTTTATAAACCCCTCCCCTCATTTGTAATTCCATTTCTACTCTGTTCACACATGGATTGAGAAAGACCTTTCAAAAACTGCATGGCATTTTATGCAATAGGAGAATTTTTGTATTTTGGTAAAATGTCATTTTATAGATGTCTGTAAATGTTCATTCTCTAAATGCTGTTTTGTGATGTCTTTGTTCATGTGCCCTGCACATAGTAGGTGCTTAATAAGAGCTTATTGAAATGGAATATAAATTCTGTGAGTATAAATGACATAAAGTATAAATAACTTTTGCATCATTAATACATGTGTTTAATAAGTGTTTTCTTTGTTGTTATTTTATTGTTTGTGTATGTATTTTTAAAAATCATAACCTTTTTCATCAGGACTCTATCTGAGACAATTTCCCATTCAGGCTGTACATCGTTTCAAGCCTTAACTGTACGATCATGGATCCGCTGTGTTTTGCAAATGCACATGAAAGACCTCTCTGAGCCCAATGGCATTTTGGTTGGTATAGACCCTGAACAAACTGTTGGTAAGTGTTCTGGGGGACACTTTTGATTCTGTATTGTTGGATATGTTTAAAATCCTCAGCTAATTGCATCAACTAATATAAAAGGTATAGAGATTGATTTGTAATTAGGTATGAATATAAACAGAATTATATTCCCCTCTGCTGCCTGTTCTTTTTCTTGATGTTTTGCCTGCACCATACATGACAAATTTCTCTCATACAAAGATAAAAGAGCTTGTTTCCTTGGAAGCAAAGAACAAAAACTTGCTCCTGAGGAGACAAGCTTTTTTTTTTCTCCCTGAAGAAACTGATCAGAAAAAAAGTGAAAATCTGAAGTAAATAACTAGACATCACACTGTGAACTCCCTAAAAAGAAAAATACCCAATTATGAATAATTCTTTCCCGTTTTATATTAGATATTTTGCCTTTCTTCTACTTCTCCATTATTCACTGAGTGATACTTGCACTGTTTTTTATCTCTTACATACAGTCTAGTTGTCTATAGGACATATCTTCTCCTGAAGCTATTGTTTATGCCCATTTTGTAAATTGCAGGAAGGCCAGACTGAAAAAATTCTCCAAATTTACTTTGATAACTTATTACACTAGTTGGCTTTACGTGAATAAATTTTTGTGCTAGAATGTTTCACAAGTACATGACTTCTTTGAATAAAACCTTTGCTTAGCGAAAGAAACTTAATTCAGAGTCTTTGAATTTTGTGGAAATTTGAATTTAAAAAGAAAGACAGCTTCATGAATGAAGTATAGTACATTTCCTGTTATATTGTCTTTTTAAACAGAAAAAGAGTACATGGAACAGTTGGCTGAACTGACAAGGTTGCTATTTCAGCTTCCAGAAGTAAAGAATATTCTCTCAAAGGCTCAAGTTGAACATTTAGCCATCACACAAGATCCTCCAAAAGCACTTGTCCTATTCCTTGAGGTACTGTACATTTATCAGCATAATTATATATCTCACTTAAAGTGATATGCAAGAAAACATGACGTATTCTTGAAAAGTTGCATGTGAAGTAAGTTTCTGTAGATCTTGTCATGTGTTTTCCATTGATTTCTATTGCAGTATTGAAGATAAGTTCCCAGAAGAAAAAATTTGGACTAAAAATATAAAACAATTCCATACAAGAAGGCAGTAAACCCTTAAAAATAACATTAAATGGAAAATGTTGAAGTGATAACTCTGCACCTTAGCTTAACCTCAGAATCCATGTGGTGGGACTGTCTTGTAGATTAAACTTGCCTTAAAATAAGACTTTTTAGCCTGCTAGTGACTAAATTCATTTGCATGGGACCCAAGGCAGTTCCATCTTATAAGTTCATGCAATATGTTAATTATGGAGTTTGAGGATACTTAAAGTTAACCACAAAGTACAAATACTGCTATAACATGACATATTGTGCCCAAAATTAATTTCCTTTGGAAAGGGAGTTATGCCTGGCCTTTAGAATTCAGTCTATGGCTTTATCTCTTTTCTAAGATAAACATTTCCTTTCATGTTTTATACCATTAATTCTCTACTTATGCGCTATATGCATTCATAACAGCTTTTCATGCAAAGTAACCTTCTTGAGCCTATGTGTGGTCATTTGTAGATGTCATACCTAGTGATTTACAGCTAGCATCAAGCTAGGAGGTATAATTAACCTAAGACAGGCAAGATGCAAGAAAGTTCTCAATGCGATAGAATGTTGCACTGAGTATAAGTTTAAAAAACATTTTATTAAAAAAATAAATTTCAAGTTCAAGATGGAAGGGGTATGGCTAGATAGTTGTTGGTCTGAAAGAGACCTCAGGGTTTTAACAGACTATAGCCTTAAGATGAGTCAACGGTGTGACATGGAAGCAAAGAAGGTTAACACTAATCTAGGTTTCATTAAAAGATATACAGAATTAAGTAGTGATAGTACTGGTGCTTAGTTTGGGGTCCTGCATTTAGCAGCCAGGATGTGAAGGCTTGTAATCTTGCCTTCTGAAGATTGCTTATAGAGCAGGGGGTGATTAGCTTGGAGAAGGGGAACGAGTAGCTGTCTTCAAGTATTTGAAGAATTGTCATTTGGAAGAAGAATTAACTTTATTCTAGTCCTAGAGGACAAAATTGGAAGGAGGTTTAAAAATTTCAGAAGCAGATTATGGCTTAAAATAAGGAAATATTTCCTAATTATGAGAGGTATCCAAAAGTGAAATAAGTTGCTGTGGAAGAGGTAGTGCTACAGGGTTAAGTAAATGGAGATGGCGTTCAGCATTACTTTTTAAGCATGTTAACTAAAGCTTAGAAGAATCAACCATGTTTGTTTCTCCTTTATTTTGCAGGCTGTTGGTATAGCATACAGTAGCTTACAAACACTTCCTGAGAAGTCTGCCATGGTCACAAAAGCATTAGAATACCTTGGTGAAGTATTGAAATATGTTAAACCTTATTTGGGGAAAAAAAGTTCCAGTGCAGGTCTACAGCTGACATACAAAATAATGGGTATGTATTGACCAAAGGTTCTTAACATTCTATTGTTTGTGGCTCTAAATTTTGGTTTTGTAGGGTGGCCCCTTAATATAGTACCAAAGAATGAAGGAATAAATCTGCTGGTCAGCTCTCAATTATCTGTGCTAACATTAGATCAGTAGTAAAAATAATTCCTAAACAATGATATTCCAGATGGTCTGTGAACCTATTATGATAGGTACCCCTTCTGGTCATAACCATTATATTATATTCTTGTCCTGTGTGACCCCAGTCCATATCTTCTCATACCTGCTAATGCTGTCCCCTCAAAAAGAAAAATTACTTTGTATTTGTTTTGCATATACTTATTTATATACATGATTTATATACTTATTTATATGCAATGATAAGTCCCTTAAAGGCAAAGACTGTTTCATTTTTGTCTTTGTATATTTTGTGCCTGTTACATAGTAGGTACTTAACAAATGCTTGTGACTTAATTGATAAAGATTCTACCAAGTGTCCCAGAGGATTTTTTCTAGATAGTTTGACATTATATGGGGACCAGTGAAGAAGTCAGGTTCTAACTTGAATTGACAAACAGTTGTTTTTCAGGTTTGGAATGCTTTTTTTTTTAAGTTAATTTAAGGCTCAACTCAGTGATAACAGTGAATAAGGCACTAGATGTGGAGTCAAGAAGACCTGAGTTCAACTATAGCCTCATACACTTATAGTCATGTGACCCTGGACAAGTCACTTAACACGCTATTTCCTCAGTTTCCTCAGTTGTAAAATGGGGAGAATATAAGCACCATACTTGCAGGGTTGTTGTGAGAATCTAATGAGATATTTATTGAGTGTTTAGCACAGTGACTGGCACATAGTAAGTACTGTATAAAAGCTTGTTACCTTTCTTTTTCCTTATTGTATTTTACTTAGGCTAATGTAAGAAGGGAGGGAGGAAGGGAAGAAGTAAAGGAAGAGAAATAAAGAAATCCATCAATCAGTAAACATTTATTAAGTACCTTTTGTGTGCCCAGACACTGTGTTAAGCTCTAATGATACAAAAAGACAGCTCTGCCCTCAAGGAGCTTAAATCTGATGGGAGAGACAATATGCAAACAAATATACAAAGCAAACTCTATGCAAGATGCAAATAGGAAATAATAAAAGAGAGCAGAGAGCATTTATTAAGTGCTTATTATGTACAAAGCATTGTCTAAGTGCTGAGGATACAAATGGAAAAGTAATGCACAGCACAGTCCCTGCTCTCATGGAACTCTCATTCTAATCAAGGAATGGATAAATTTAAAACATTTCAGCTGCAGGTCAGATGGAAAGGTCCCGTGGTCCTTAGGGTACAGTGGCAAAGCAGACAGTAAACTATCTTTAAAGTCATTTACGCCAGAAAAAAGAAATGACATCTGTTTCTGATGCTGAAGCATTTCATTTGACAGTGCCAGGGACTTTGGGGATGAGAATATTCTTTGGATTTTTAGTAGTACAGGCTGCAGTCCTAGCACAAGCACTCCAGGTTGCATCTCTATGAGAGTTGCTTTGGGGATGATGGCTGGGAGGGCTTTGTCCGAAGCCGGATTGGTGGTCCAGGGCATCCTGCCACTCCCAGAGCTCTTGGACTTAACCTGAATGTTAGTGGCAGTTGTTTAGCAACTACACTTGCTGGTAGCAAGAAAGGTGGGTCCTTCTCTACCATGATGTCTCTTCTCAGTGTTATCTGTAGGGAGCCCAGGCTGGAAATAAAACTGTTAGACTTGGGGACACTTTTCTTTTTAAATTTTTTTTCAGTGAACAAAATTATTTTCTTTAACTCCCATCATCCCCTTATACACCATGAGAAACAAAACAAAACAAATTTTTTGTAACATATACATAGTCAAGCAAAACAGATTCCCTCATTGGCTATGTCCCCCCCCAAAAATGTCATTCTGCACCCTGAGTTTTTTACTTCTGTCAGGAGGCAGGTCACATGCTTCATCATTGGTCCTTTGGAATTGTGGTTGGACATTGGATTGATCAGACTTCTTAAACCTTTCATAGTTTTTACAATCCTTACAATGGTGTTGTTATTATATAAATTGTTCTTTTACATCAGTTCATACAAGTCTTCCCAGGTGTCAAAACGTCCTTTTCATCATTCATAGACTATAGTAGTATTCCATTACATTCCTATTCCATAATATGTTTAGCCATTCCCTAATTAATGGGCAAAAGGACTTGGTAGTGAGGGAGGAAGGGGACTTTGGGGACAGGATCCTAGGCTGTCTCCATTCTGGTCTGTTTATTTAATATTTAAACACCATTATAGGTAATCCTCTAAATACACATATAGCCCATATCCAGACAGTAAAGTTCTAATATATTCTTGATTGATTGTTTTTTAATATGTTTATTTTAAATTGCAAATGTCAGAAAACAGTGTGATGAGAGGTAGGTAGCTTCTTACAGTGAACAAAAAAATGCTGGATTTGGTGCCAGAGTACCTGAATTCACATCCACTTTCTCCACTTAACTACTTGTATTTCTTTGAGCAAATCATCTCCCCATCCCACCCCACCTCACCTCAGGTCATCTGTAAAGGATTGACAACTAGAGGGCCCTTTCAAATCCAAATTACTTTTCTTTCCATGTTCCTCATGAAGGGGATTGAGAGTGAATTTACTAGAACAGTGGGAATACTTATGCACCAAATCTTGTCATGTACAGTTCTGTTTTTTTTCTTTACAAAATTAATCTTATATTTATCAGTATTATTATTCTAGCCATCTTTAGGAAGAAAGTGAGTGAATTGGGTATTTTTGTTCACTAAAGCCATATTACTTGACCAGAAACAGACTGGATGTAGAAATTGAAAGGGATCATATCGTGAGACAGCATTTTTAAGTTTTTTACATTATCAGATCTTTAGTTCTTGTTCTCTAGCGCTATCTCTCTCTCTCTCTCTCTCTCTCTCTCTCTCTCTCTCTCTCTCTCTCTCTCTCCCTCTTTCCCCTTCATATATGTACATATATATACACACATATATATTTAGCATTTTTTGATTCTTTATATTGCCTTCATATTGCCTAATGCCTAACATAGTGTTGCATAATTGGTACTTAATATTTGCTGGTTGTGATGTAAAAATGAATAAACCTTATTTATGTATCCAGAAATTTAATCTTTGTTATTAAGAGATAAAGAGAAATGTGAGTACCTATGTTTGTACTCTTGTGTATCATAAGATGGTGCAGAGAAAGTGGTGGCAACTCAAGTATCTTTATTTTTTAGTGAAAGGCTGATGTTTTAGGAATATTAAGTGCATGTTTGGGTAATTACTGGGGACTAGAAGATGTTTCTGTTTGATTGTCTGTTCTATAAAGTTAACGTTAGAAATTAGCACACTTTCAACTGTTATGCTTCTTTGTTCTCTAGTTACTAGATTATGCTATAAGTGAATGTGTGATCCTAGGCTGTGCATATGTGTGTTCTTATATGTCTTTTGTTTTTACAAAATGTATGTTGGTATCATCAGGAGCTGTCAAAATAAATATTCATTAGAGATTTGAAGACCCAGACATTTTTGAGAGGAAGATTTTTTTTTCTTTTAAGACTTGTTCCAAGAAATTGAAAAGTTTCTGGCTTATGATTTATTTTAGCAATATGATGAATAAGATCTTCAGGGTAAGATTCTCATACCTTGCTACCTGGCCTTTTGCTTCTGAAAGATGGTTTCTAAAAACTATGTAATAGGAAGATTTCAATGAAAAGTCTCTGTAGTCTGAGATCATCCAGTGAGGAAGCAGCATATTAGAGTTCTCAGGGGCCAGAGCAAGATGCATGTCTGCCTGCAGGAAGCATTGTCATTTTCATAGGAAAAGAAAGAGCCTTATTTGCTTCGTAGTGACTTTTGATGCTTTTTTTCTTTTCAATATTTTATAATTTTCTCTCACTAGCACCGTCACTTCCCAATGATTCCCCGATGCCCACAGAACCTTCTGTTTTAACAAAGTTTAGGCAAAACAAGTCAACCTACTGCCCACATCAGACAACAAATATCTCATTCCATACCTATGGTCCACCTTTTGTGGAAGCTAGGTGATGCAGTGGATAAAGTGCCAGGCCTGGAGTCAGGAAGATCTGATTTCAAATCTAGCCTCAGATTGGCTGTGTGACCTTGGGTAAGTCACTTAACCTACTTCAGTTTCCTCATCTGTGAAATGGGAATAATAATAGTACCTACCTACAAGGGTTATTGTAAGGATCAACTGTGGCAATATTTGTAAAATGCTTACCCCATTACCTGGCACATAATGGTCATTGTTGTTGTTGTTCAGTCATGTCCAACTCTTTGTGACCTCAAATGGGGTTTTCTTGGCAGAGATACTGAAGTGGTTTGCCATTTCCTTTTCTAGTGCATTGAGGCAAATAGAGGTTAAGCAACTTGCCCAGTGCCCCATAGCTAAGTGAATGTCTGAGGCCAAATTTGAACTCAGGTATTCCAAACTCCATAACCAGTGCTCTGTCCACTGAGCCACCTAGCTTCACGTATTGGGCACTATATAAATCCTAGATACTATCATTATTGTTATTATTATTATTATTAATTATTACCATTGCTCCTACTAATTGTGTCACGAAGAAGTTATGTTCACGTAGTTTCCTCTGAAGTCAACATCAGTGCATTGGTCAGTGTTGTGATCTGACTGGTTTTCAAAAACCTGGCAGTGGTGGACACTGGCCCGGGAATCGCATCCATTTTTATTACATTAAAAAGTTAGAAAACAAGTATATTACCCCTACTTACTCAAAAGGTCCAGGCTAGAGAGGCCTAAAGACAAGTTTAAAGCTTTTGAAGCTGGAAGTAATTTCCTCCTAGCCCAGTAATCTCTGGAGATCTACAAAGGATCTAGAAGAAAATATCCTTGTTCGTTATCATTATCATCATCATCATCATCATCATCAGTATTATTTATCTGCATCCACTTTCTCAGGAGATTTAGAATCTCATATAGGTGGGTACTCCCTTCAGTGACATAATTCATAACTTGTCACTTCAGACTCTACAAGTCAGGGTTTGACCTCTGTTTTGTTTAGGGTCTGATCTTAAGAAAGTGATAGAGAACTGGTTAATAATAAAGATTAAACTCAAAAGTATGCTTTTTGTGCTTTTTTTTTTCTGGAGAGCCAGTTATTAAACATATACCAGCATGTACCATATGATACCATGTGATCTTTTTAATTAAATTAAGTTTTTAATTAAATTAAAACATAGTTCTGTCTCCTATTTCCATGCACTGGCACAGACTAGTCCCTCATGTGTGGAAGCAAAATCTTTCTGAATTTCACTTCTTGGAATCTTTAGCTTTCTTCAAAATTCAGTTTAGAGGCTACTTCCCCCATGAAACTCTTCCTTATCCTCTGTTCTACCTTCTGCCTCTTCATGTTATGTCTCATTGCCTTTTCTAGTTTAATAACCCCTAGTAGAATTTAAGACCTTTGAAGACAAGGATTGTGTTTTTGTCTTTGTTTTCCAGATGCCTTACACATACTGCATACTTAATACATGAATAAATGTTAACTTTGCCAAGCACCATGATTGTGTGAATAAACAAGTTAAAGACAATGTATGTTTATGCTCCTAAGTTAACGAAATAACTTCATCTATGAAGTTCTTAAAAGACAAGAAAAGCAATTGCATGTATTTACATTTGTAATGACCCTCTTCTCCAATTTCCATTTTTAAAAAAATCTCCAATGACTTCAGAATTCCTGGAAATTTTACCTCTCTACTATTTCAAAGAAATGTTTGCCTTTCAGTGAAACGTTAAAAAGTGTGGCAGTAAAATTGATGTATCTTTTCTGTGTCCTATGAACCTGTAAAACAGATGGTTCCCAATAAAGTACTTTAACCTTACAGCTGATGAAATTTCCAGTGTGGACGAAATATGTATGCATGTTAGTAGGTACCTATCCATCCCAAATGATCTAGGTGTGACAAATGAGAGTAGAATGAGTCATCGTGAATGTCGGGAATAATAGCAATACCCTTTTAAGAGTATATTAATAAGAGGTCTTATAAATGGTTTTTTCCAATAGGTAGAAAAAATGGGGAGTGAGGCAGCATTATTTAAAATATTGCTAAGTGAACACTGAGTTTCTTTATGATTGATCATTGTATTTTCTTTTACACCAGAAGATTAATGTTGTTTGTTGTTCATAAGGGTGATTATGGGTTGACTCTTTCACATCAATAACTTCTTCTGCAGGCCTATTTTGTGCCTTTTTTTTTTCCCGTTTCAGGACATAACTATATATGTACTTGTTATATGTGTATGTACGTATACACAAACATGCAAACACACAGAATGCGATATCTACATCATTCCCTCTGTTTTGGACCTAGCCCTTCCTTTTTTCCTTTTCTGTTTTCTAAGATGAGTAAATGATTAGCCCTTGTGCAGTAGGTTTTCACCTATGCTGTCTGATCCAGCCCTTGTTACAGTATGTTATGAGATGAGACATTTTTCAGGGAATTTGTATCTCAGCTACAATTTACTGGGAAATGTGACCCCTGTTATGAACTATCTTAAAGGCTTGGACTCTTAATAATTAGTTTTCTAAAGAAATTTCCTGGTTTTCTGTTAAAATCACATAGGATTTTTTAAAAATTGGTTTGGTGCTATTTTCTTTGAAACACATGAATTTAAATTAATTGCCCTTCTCCTTTCAAATACAGAGATTACAAATGAAAGAGTTTCTTAGCGCCATTGAAACTGTAATATATTTACAAAGGTATTTCAAGTAGGATGAGAACATAAAACTAAGGACAGATCCCTGGCATATTTCACTGGGATCTCTGATTTAGGTCTAGAGAACTCATCAAGCCAGTCCAATGCCCTCATTTTTACAGATGAGTGATCCGAGAGGTTTTGAGAGGTTAAGTGATGTGCCCAGGGTCACACAGCTAGTAGTGACAAAGGCAGGATTACAACCCAGATCCTCTGACTACACTGATGCTCTTTCCACTGTAATAATGAAATCTTAGTCATTTACCAAACATAATCCAAGGTTAAACAGCTGATGATTTTATGTATGACTAGTAAATGTGAAAATTAGAATCAAAATTTTATAGCTGAAAAAAGAATTCTGGGGTCATTTAGGCTGATTTCCCACATTTTATTCATTCATTGATTTTATTATTAAATAAGTTTTATTGATGCTTCTTGATTTTATTATAAATCTGTAACTACAGAAATACACTCCTTTCCCTCCATCTTCTTCCATGAAATTGAATCCTCTCTCCCAACAAATGAAAGTAGTTAAACCATTCCTACATCTTACAGTGCATGATGGCACTATTCTGTCCTAGTAGAGTCCTGCCCCTCTGCTGAAATGAAACCCTTATTTTCAAGTTGAGAACCCTTAAAATACATAGAATTCCAGTAATATCTCCAAGGATGTACAGCTAGGAAGTTACACAACTGAGTCTAGAACCAGGCTTAACTCACTGTCCATTGCTTTTTTTTTCCCCATACATTCTGTAATCAGACCTTGCACAGCTCAATTGAAATTGTTTAGCATTCACATTTCCTAATTTCCTTTTACTATTTTTTTCCCAATGCTGCTGCTGCAGGGGTCCTAGTAAAGTCATGGGCACTGATTCTTGCCACTTCTAAAGCACAGAAGCTCCTGTTCCGTATCATAGACTGCTTGCTTCTTCCACATGCTGTGCTGCAACAAGAGAAGGACCTGCCCACGGCTATGCTGACTGCTATTCGAAAGAGTCTTCCTCTCTATCTTCAGGTAAGTTGCATTTATGCTTAAGCTACCCGTAAGTAAATAAACTTTACATTCCATTCTGGAACATTTTGTATTAAACAAAGATGATAAAACTTATTTAAAAATCTTACATACGTTGAGTTTGAGGGAAGATAACTTTTTTTGTTCTTTTACTGACCACAAAAATTGAAGTTCTTTTTGAGGTATAATTTCAAAATCTCAAAAGAACCTTGAATGGCCTAACTAAAAAATAAGATTACAGGAGAACTTACCACACAGGGTTGTAACACAATACCCACTCCCCTGTAGAATTACTACCACAGAAAGAAGAGGAAGTTGAGATTTTGTATTGATTTATTTTTTTAATCTTGAAACTCACTGGAGGAATCAAAATGGGGTAGCTTGGTGGTGCAGTGAATATGAGGAAGATCTGGAAGTCAGTAAGACCTGGCCTAAGATAATTACTAGCTGAATGACCTTAGCAAGTCACTTAACCTCTGCTTGCTTCAGTTTCCACATCTATAAAATTAAGAAAATAATAGCACCTATCTCCCAGAGCTGTTGTAAGGATCAAATGAGATAAAATAATTGCAAAGTGCTTAGTACAGTCTCTGGCACATAGTAAGCTTTACATGAATGCTAGCATTTATATAAATGTTATCAATTATTAAAATAAGATTTTGGATCTGCCACTTTTTTTAAAGTCCTTAAAAATGCAATAAAAAGAGAAATGTTTTTATTGCTTTCATTTTGGGCAATGGAATTTGATTTGTCCGTTTGAGTAAAATCATTCATCATTACCAATCAGTGATTCCAAAGCGAAATCTAGGAAACAGTAATATTGCTAATTTTAAAAAATAGTATTTGAAGAATGAGAGGCTGTGTGGTAAAGTGGATAGAGATCTGACCTCAGACCCAGGATGTCCTGTGTTTAAGGACCACCTCTTCCACTTTTGGGCTGAGTAACTGAGCAAGGAAACCCTTCTGCCCTAGATAGCTCTCTAAGGCTATAATTTTCAAAGAAGGTGCTGATCTTCATTGGTTGAAGAAGTTTCCTCATTGAAAGTTCATTATACCAGTGAAATCACAGGTCCAGTTCCTGTACATTATTTTAATAAGATTATTTTCTGTTATATCGAGTGCTTACTATGTGTTAGACACTAGGCTACAAAGACCAAAGTGAGACAGCCCCTGCCTTGCAGGAGCCTACATTCAAGACAGAGAGAGAAAGTGTATATCCATAAAGATATGCATAATATAAACAAAATGAATGAATACCAGGTGGTTTGCAAAGGAGTACACCTGGGGAGGAGTGAGTCAAGAAAAGTTTCATGTAGGAGATGATGCTTAAGCTGAGTCTTGAAGGAAACTAGAGGTTTCAAAAGGTTACAGTGAAAAAGAATGCATTCTGGTATAGGGAATAACCAGTGCTGAGACATGGAGATTGGAGGTAGGGTATGTGTGTAGAACAGTAGTCCAGTATGATAATCATAAAATGCATGGAGGCATGCAGGAATATGCAAGAAGACTGGAAATGTAAGATGGGGCCAGATTGGGAGTAGATTTAAATGACACAGATGTTTATATTGATCTTAGAGGTAATAGGGAGCCACTGGAATTAACAAGTAGAGTGGAGACTGACATGATCAATCAATAAGCAATCTTTCATTAAGGACTTGCTATATGCCAGGCACTGATATAAGTGCTAGGAATACTAGAAAAAGCAAAACCAGTCTCTGGCTTCAAGGAACTTACATTTAATGAAGGAGACAAAATAGGCATATGCAAGAGGTAGAGAGAGTAGATACTTGATACCACAGGGGAGGGAACACTGTGGAGGCACTCGGAGAAACCTTTTGCAGAAGGTGGGGTTTGAGCTGAGTCTTAGTCAACTAAGCATTTTGTAAGTCCCCATTACATGCCTAGCACTGTATTAAGAACTGGAGATACAGCGAAAACAACAACAACAACAAAGCAAAAACCCAACTCCACAAACAAAACCCAGCCTCTGTTCTCAAGGAACTCAGGGGCTGATGGGAGAGAGAACATGCAAACGGCCATGTACATGAGATCTATACAGGATGAATTGGGAGTAATTTCAGAGGGAAGGCACTCAGATGAAGGAGGAGTGGGGGTGGCTTCTTGCAGAGAGTGGGATTGTAGCTGAGACTTGACGTTGACTGTGAAAGCTAGGAGAGGAAGAGCCTTCCAAGAATGGGGAACAAGCAGTGCAAGTGTGAGAGTCAGGAAATTGAATGTCTTGTGCGAATAACAAGAAAGAAAGACAGAGTCACTGATTCACAGAGTGTGGGGAGTGGAGTAAGGAGCCCAGGTATGAAGACTTTGAGTGCTAAACAGAGGGTCTTCTATTTGGTCCTGGAGGTAAGAGAGAACCACTGGAGTTTCTGGAATTGGAGAGGTGCCTTCCAGTATGGTGTAGTCTGACCTGCATTTAGGAAGTTCAATTCAACAGCCAAATGGAGGATGAATTGGGAGTAGAGAGAGAGTTGTGGCAGGGAGACCGACCAGCAGGCTATTGCCATTGTCCGGGCATGAGGTCATGAGAGTCTGCACCAGAGAAGAGAATGGGGTGTATATAAGAAATGTTATGAAGGTGGAAGCAATAGGATTTGACCACTGATTGGATGTGCTGGATGAGAGAGAGTGAGGAGTAGAGTATGAGACCTAGCTTGTAAGCCTGAGTAACTGGGAGGATGGTGGTACTCCTCAACAATAATAAGGAAGTTAGGGAAAGGGGAGTGTTTGGACGGAGAGATAATGAGTTCAGTTTTGGACAAGTTGAGTTTAAGATGTTTCCAAGACATCCAGTTTGAGGAAAAAAGGCAGTTGGAGCTATGAAGTTGGTGGTTGGGAAGAGAGGTTTTGCTGGACAGGTAGATCTGAGATTCCTCTGCAAAAGAGATAATAATTAAATCCAAGGGAGCCGATGGGATTGCCAAGTGAAATAAATAGTACAGAGGTAGAGGAGAAGGCCTAGGACGGAGTTGTGGGGAATCCCAACTGTTAGTGGGCATGGTGTGGATGAAGATCCACCAGAGAGACGGAGGAGTGGTCAGACAAGTAGAAGAAGAAGAATCAGAAGGGAGCAGTGTCAGAAAAAAACAAACAAACTAGAAAGAAGATAATATCACAGTGAAGAAGGGGGTGATTGACAGATTTAGAAACTTCACAAGAGTCAAGTAAGAAGAAGATTGAGAAAAGACCACTAGATTTGGTAATCAAGATATCATTAGTAACTTAGGAGAAATTTCAGTTGAATTATGACATCAGAAAGACACATTATAGAGAATTAAAAAGAAAGTGAAAGAAAAGGAAGTGGAGGTACCTATTGTAGATGGCACTCTCATGGAGTTTAGCCACAAAAGGGAGGGAAGATATGAGATCATAGCTATTGGGGATGGATGGATCAACTGAAGATTTTTTGAGTGTGGGAAGGACATGACATGTATTTGTTTGTAGACAGTAGGGAAGCAACCACTAGACAGGGAGTCAGGGATTAAAGAGAAACTGAGGATTTTAAGAGGCAGAGGCTAGAAGTAAAAGAATTCCAGACATGAAAGAAAGCCCATCCAAAGTCACTAAAGTAGGAGATGAAGCACTGAATATGAGGAATAGCATGTAGATCAGTGTGGCTGGACTCTATGAGGTTTATAATGTAATGTATAAGAAAACTGGGAAGTTAGGAAGTTGCCAGGTTTTAAGTGCAAGAGTTTTAAATGCCAGACAAGTTCATATTTGATCGAACCTGAACTTTAGAAAAATCATCTAAGTGGCATCGTTTGTAGAGAGGAAAGGTTTAAGTTAGACACATCAAGGAGAAGGCTATTATTGGGCTAGTCTAGGTGAAATGGGATGAGGTCCTATTAGAGTGGTGGCTGTCTAATTAGAGTGATGGGGAAAGATATGAGAGTATGAGAGGTATTGTGGGTATAGAAGTGTCAAGGTTGGGCATCTGATTGAGTATATGAGAGTTAGGAGTTAAAGATGACACTGAGGTTGCTAACCTGGAAGACTAGAATGATGGTATCCTCAAAGTAATAGGAAAGTTCAAGAAGTATGGAGGGAGCAGTTCTGGGGAAGGATAATGAATTCTACTTTGGACTTGATGAATTTAAGAAATTTATAAGGGGGCAGCTAGGTGGCGCAGTGGATAGAGCACTGGCCCTGGATTCAGGAGGACCTGAGTTCAAATGTGGCCTCTGACACATTACACTTACTAGCTGTGTGACCCTGAGCAAGTCACTTAACCCCATTGCCTAGCCAAAAAAAAAAGAAATTTATAGGCCATCCATTGTGAAGATAACTCCAGGGTCTTGAAGGGATTGCCAGCAATATATGAACTCTGGTGGGTCTAACCAAAGTGGAAAGGCTTCAGCCATAGTCTCAGTGACTGGACAGCATGTATACTACATGAGAACAAGCCTCCATAAATGCACAGAGGATAGTGACTAAAAGGTTGGCAACAGGATAGTAAATTTTTTTAGCCACAAGAAAACACAAAGATGACAGTTGAGTGATCGTTCTTCATATTTGTGGAGAAAGTACCTCCACTGATGAAATCATAGATCCTGGAATATTGATTAAACAAAAACATTTATGGGCTATCTTAGGATTCCATTCAACATTTATATCATTGTTCCTGTAGGAAAATATGAGTTCTGAATGGTTGACATGTAAATGAATTATAGGAAAACACTGCATTTTAAAGTTGGTGACTGTCTGTATTCAGTCTTTTGTAACTGAAGTGGTCAGTGACAGATAACTTTTGACTGTTTTTTTACTTGATTTTACGCATAACTACCTTTAGTCTTTGGTCCTATTTCCATTATATTATTTTTTATGTTTTTGCTTTATTGTTGTTATCCTTCAGAGTGTAATATTGACTTAAAAATACTCATTTCATGGTAGCGTGACTGACAGATACTTTGCTTGAGGAAAACTGTAATTCATTGATGTAAAACATAATGATATTCCCAAATGATGTTATTTCATCATTCCTGTGGTAAAAGAGACTGTGTGTGTGACATACATACATATATACATACATACTTTTTATGTGTGTGAGTGTATGCTAATTAAATATATGTGTGTATATATACTATACATATATATGGTACTCTTTTTTTAAAAATGTGTTATACATATGCTAAAATATTTTTACTTTTACAGCATGTTGTTTGGGGCTTACACTTCCTTGTGGAAATGCAAACAGATTCCCAGAATTTCCAGCTTCCACTGACTCAGCTCTAGAGAGTTTTTCACTTTAGAATTTATTCTAGAAATTCTCAGAAACACCCCAAAGGGTAGTCTGGCAGGTACCCCCCTTAGAGTCCCAAAGTTTAGCAGACAATGAAGTGGAAGATTTTGGACCTTGTCCTGACTTGCCACATTCTTGTTATTCAGATAGTGGTGATGGACCTACCTTAGGATGAGGTTAAGCGACTTCCTTTTGCATGTAGCACAAAACCACATGAGCTGGAACTAGAAATCATTTGATCCTATAAACCATGCCTCTATTGTTGTTTGGTTTTTTTATTTTTTTTTTACCAGAACAGAGTATTATAATACTGTGGTCACTATATCACTCAAGAAGTATGTATTAGACACTTACTCTGTGCCAAACACTCTGCTAGGTATTGGGAATACAGAGACAAAAATGGTACCATGTCATTATGTACCTTAACATTAACAAAAAACATTCCTTACTATGAAAACTTTCTACCATGAATTCATTCTCTCATATTCTTTTATTTTTTTAATGATCATCTGAAAGTGGAGTTAAAATATGTTTTGAAGCAGTCTGTTATGGATTATTCTTCTCCAATGACTGGGGAACATATGCAGTCTGAATATTGATATAGAGGGGAAAGTAAAGAGTCTACACAACCATGAGGTACCATATATTGCTTTCCCCATGTAAAAAATGATGCAAAAATATAGGATAGGGGTCATTATTTTGCTCCCAAGTATGCACCAGCCTCATACTATGGAATCTTCCAAGGACCATAGGAGCTCAGTCCTTGATCTTAGTAAATTATATACTCTGTATTATATGTTAATGATGGAATGTGTTTGTTAACTTAAAAACTCCAGCAAATGAAAACAAGTACAAATGGCAGTGTTAGTTATTTCATCTGACATATTCTTTACATTTCATCTCTCCTTTTATTTCTCCCTTAGGGCATGTGTGTTATCTGTTGTCATTCCCAAACGCAGAATGCCTATTTGAACCAACTACTGGGGAACATTGTTGAACAGTATATTGGGCGTTTCTTGCCTGCTTCCCCATCTCTTCAAGTCCTTGAACAACATCCTGTTCTCTTGGCATTGAGCAGATCAGCCACCACTCCCAAGACTGCATGTCTTCAGAAAATTGTTGTGCAAGTTATAAGGTAACAGGAAATATAGGAAAAAAGGTGATAATCTCAAGCTAAATTTTCCTGTAATGTTTTATTTTTTAAAGGTGATTAAAAATGGTTGACAGCTTTAAAATAATACTGTATTCTACAGTTTGTCTTAATGCTAAAAAAAAGTTGCTAACCATACCTACTACGAAGTATAATAAAGAGCTTTAAATGCCATAGCTTTAAACATTCATACCCTTTGACCCAATGCAGTTAAAGACATGAATAAATAATGAAATATTCAGAGAAACACTTCTTGTAGTACCAAAAAATTTGAAAACAAAGTGGGTGCCTATAAATTGGAGAGTTGCTGAACAAATTGTAGTATGTATATACAATGAAATACTATTATTTTGTTTTTTTAAAATGACCATAAAGAATTCAGAGAAACACGGAAGAATTTTAAGAATCGATTCAGACTGAAGTAAACAGATTCAGGAGAATATGACTACAATGATATAAATGAAAACAGTACTTAGGGGCAGCTGAGTGGCTCAGTGGATAGAGCATCGCCCCCAGAGTCAGGAGGATCAGAGTTCAAATCCAGCCTCAGACACTTGACATTTACTAGCTGTGTGACCCTGGGCAAGTCACTTAAACACATTGCCTAGCCAAAATAAGAAAAAAAGAAAGAAAAAGAAAACAGTATTAAAAACAACAACAACAACAGATTAATTGCAATGATCAGTGTCTATCCTGGAGAACAGGAAAAGGTAGGAAACTGTGAGGATGGGGTTAGAATGTTCCATATGCTATCAGATGAGATTGCTTTATTGACCATTTTTGCTTACGTGTTTTTCTTTGTTACAAGGAAGGGTTCATTTTGGAAGCAGGGGACATTACATTAACAACTTACTCTGATGTTAAAAAAGGGATGACAGAAACTTAAACTAAAATTTAAACAAACTAATTGTATGAATGTCTGTCTGAAGTGTTTCTGGACAGTTTAAGTGATTCTGCAAAAATCGGTTACAACTCCCAATTCTCCTAACACTTCTACTCATACATATTAGCATTCATTATTTCTAGATTTTCTACCTTGGAGAATCTTTGCATTCCACTATTTTTTAATTCTTGTATTTCTAATGAAAATAACCAAATGTCATTTTTCCAAAGTCATTTTCCTGGCATTTGTGTGTGTTTTTTACAAAAAGCTATCCTCACTTTCTTTACCTGCCTTAAGATTGTAGATAACTGACTTTTAGGACAGAACAAGATCCATCTTTAAAAAACAAAAACAAAAACTTACTCTTCTACTAAAGTGGCACCCTATGATAACCTTATGACTAATACTGTTATATCCTCTATTCAGCTAATGTTTTCACTTTGTTCTTGATGCTTTAGATAGATCTTTCATAATAAGTAGGTTTTGTAGAGTCTGGGGAGAGAGGAAATCACATCAATATAAGCTAAAAGGTGAAAGGTAATAATGAAATTTAAAGACTAAATCAGTTAGTCTTTTCTGTGTCAGTAACTCATTTCTTCCTGCGAACTAGGTAATAAATTAACACAAAATTCTTTAGACTTCTTTTCGACTTTGTTTGAGACTAGAGGTTTTGCTAGAGGTTGTGCTTAGGCATTGGAAAGAGTTAGGAATAAAATAATCTATTCAATTCCCCACTCCACTCCCTTAGTCTATATTCATGGAATGTCTTTTTTCTCTGTTTACTGTTTATTTAAACCCTCTGGTAGAGAATATTCTTGAGCCCTGCAATAAAATCAGGGCACTCTAGAATTTTAGAACTAGAATATGTATTTTGGGTCCTCTGGTCCAATTCCCTCACCTTACAAATGAGGTAACTCAGGATCAAACAGGTAAAGTGAGTAACTTGTACTTTTGATAGTACAGAGGCCCTAGTCATTCCAGAGATTTGGACATACTGCAATTCAAATCACCCTTGGTTAATGTAGAGTTCATTTCTTTCACCATCACGTAGAAAGTCTTTTGTCTTACATGTCCAGTTCTAACTTCTCTCTTGAATCCCAACCCTTTATCCAACTATCAGCTAAACATTTGCATTGAACTGTATATCAAGCTGATACCTGAAAGTAGTCTTGTCCAAAGCCAAGCATTTCTTCTCCAATATGACACCCACCCTGTTCTTTCCCCCACCCCTGCCAAAAAAAATTTCCCTTTTTACTTTTGCTTCTTTTTTTCTCTTCTACCTGTACTTGGATTCATTCTCTTATACCTTTAGGCTTGAAACTTGAGTCATCTTTGGCCTTACATTCCTTGTCTTTCATATCTAATTGGTTTCATTGATTCTTTTATTTCTTGAATTCATCCCTGCCTTTCCATTGCCACATGTGTTGTCATCTCATATTTAGAGCACTGCAGTAATAAGCTTCTGTCCCCAGCCCCTGTCCCCCTACTCATTCTTATACACCACTGTCGCATTAATCTTCCTTAACCAATCACTCTCGAAAGGTGATATGTGACTCAAAAATCTTTGAGTTCTCTACTGTTTGTAGGTCAGAATCCAAACTCATTAGCTCAGTCTTGCTACACCTAGCTTTCTATTTCTCTGTTTCCAGCAATTTTTTTTCTTTAAGATGCAAGCATAGGTATTACTTTCATGTTCTAGCTTTCAATAAAAAGAGATTACTATTCCTTGTTACAGAGCAGTGTGTCTCCACAGTGACCTGACACTCAAAGCATCATGGAGTTGGAGCTATCTTAGAGGCCACCTACTCCAATCCTTTTCATTTGACAGATGAGAAAACTGTACTTGTATAAGTATGCATATAATCGGTACAAAATAAATATGACCTAGTTTGGGGATAGAGTGTACCAGAAACTAGAGGGATCACAAAAGAAGACTTCCTTGTAGAAGGTAGTGCTTGAGCTGAGTCTTTAAGAAAACCAGGGATTCCAAGAGGCCCAGATAAGGAGAGAGTTACATTCCAGGCATTTAGGATGACAGCCAGTGCAAAAGCTTTGAAATGGGAGATGGAATGTTGTGTGTGCTAATTAGGAGATAGGCCAGTACGGCTAGATTATAGAGTAATGTGTGAAAAGAATGGATAGGTAGAAAGGAGCCAGAGTTTTTTGAGATTTAAATGCTAGAGTGCCTATTTGATCCTAGAGGTAATAGAGAGCTTTGAGTAGAGGAGATGACATGTGCAGACATGTTCTTAAAGAAAATCATTTAGGCAGCTGAGTAGAGAATGTATTGGAGTGTGGAGTCGTTTGATGTAGGAATACTATATAGGAGGCTAGCACAATAGTCCAGGTGGTGATGAGGGCCTGAATTAGCATAGTATCTGTATGAGTAGAGAAGACTTAAAAGTTTCTCTTATATTTGGACAGTGAGAATCTAGTAATTTCCATTATTAGAGATGGAAATTTAGGGGCTGCCTCTTTGAGTGTAATCATTATATCTAAACGGAAGATTCCCTTAGCATACATCTTAGTGTGTCTCTGAATATCAGATATAGCAGCTTGCAACTGGTTCACACATATCTGTAGACTAGTAGTTAAATTAGCTATAAGCGATGGTTCTGATTGTTCTATGTCTCTTGTGTTGTTCAGGAAGCCTGATTTCCTTTTATGAGCTGACTAAAATTTGTACTACTCTGAAGGAGAGTTCAAATTCAGGAGTTGTAGGAATTTGTTGTTCAGGTCAATTCCTTAACCTGCCAATTGAAGGATGGGGTACAGTGTGAGATGAGAATGTTAACCATATAGGGAAATCCTTTATTTATATGAACATGGGAGAATCTGTGCTTATGTCTTCCCCACCTCCACCTCTCTACTTTTTTCTTTCCAAAGAGGATCATGAGAATGGTTCTGTGTTACTTTGGAGAGTATGTTTTACTCTTTACAGCAGAAGCAAGAGAATGAGGCTTGTTGTGCTATGAAAAAATAATCAGTTCATATATAAAGCCCTTTAGGCAAAGTGTATGGCTTTATTTGTTCTTAATCACCAAATTAGGCCATTATAGAATGCATGGCTGTATAGGTTTGACTTTTCAATTATTATTAAGCCTAATAGGTTCCTAAATCCATAATGGTCCAGAAGAACAGAAACTGAAACATATCTTTCTTCTCTGTAGAGGGGTGGGAAATTTCTAGGACTGAATATGGCATCTATTGTCACACATGATCACTATTAGAGTTCATGTTTTTCCCCCCATAAATGTTTTTTTTTCCTCTTATAAAGGAGGATTCTGTTTAAAGCTATGTTTGTATGTGGGGCATGATAGTATTTCCAGTTATGGTGGTGATAGATAAACAAAAATCATTAGTAGACTTAATTTTTAAAAAATAGTTTCAAAAAAAAGGGGGGGAAAAAGAAAAAAATTTTTTTAAATTAAAAATAATTTCATCAATATATTCATGGAGTTTTCATAATGTCTATTAAGCACAAATGCTTAACAGAACACCAGAGGGACATTTAATTCTTCACTACATCACTGGATCTATGATCTCATTAATATGGGTATTCCCTCTGTTGGTACATCTTGCAGCTAATCCATACCTCATCATCCTTATAAATCTTGTCCATTTCTTTTGTAGTTCTTCTTTAGGGGAGCTACACTGAAGGCCAGTCTCTAGATCTCTTTCCATTTTGTGGATATCATTGCCTTCCTTGAATTATCTATTTGTCATCTCTAGCTCTCACCACAACAAGGGAGAAAGGGGAAGGGATAAGTAATTATTAAGTACCTACTATGTCGAAGGCACTCTGCTAAGAGCCTTACAGTATTATCTCATATGAGCCTACCTCCTGTTCCACTCATACTGTTTCCCTAGATAGAATTCCTTAGACCAGTTGTTGTGCATAGATCATCTCAGACCCTTCCCTTAATAGCTATGTGACTTTGACTTGCCCCTTTTTGGCCTCAGTTTCCTCATCTGTAAAATGAGAGGGTGGACTAACTGACGTCTTAAAATCCACATCAGCTCTAAATTTGTTCACTGGAGATGTTATTTCTTGTGTGTAAAGTCATCACTAGGAAATGCAGTAAAATATACTCCTAGACCTTCAAAAGAGAGTTAAATTTAACACTTAAAAACTGTACTTTATTCATGGTGATATCATCCTGAAATTCTGTTTTTTGATTCTGTCTTAACCAGAATGAAACATGGACATATTTCTTTTTTAGGAAATCCTACATTCAGTTTAAAGGATCTTCACCACCTCCTCGCTTAGCATCCATTCTGGCTTTCATTCTTGAACTTTTCAAAAAAACCAGCATGGACATTGGTGATATGGAACAGCTCTTACCTAGTGTGTTGAAGTGTTTGCTCTTGGTCAATGAACCGCAGGGTGAGTTTACTAATATATTTAGTATGTTTATCATTGTAGAATAATGACAGTGTTTATGCAGTGCTTTAAAAGTTTGCAAACCTCTTGCAAAGAGGTCACAATACATACATTGTATTGTCTCTTTTGCATACATTGCCTCTTTTGCTCATGATGTTTAGAGTAAAAAGTGACAATATAGGTCATTTTACTTTATTGTATTTTTGAGACTTGGTTTCCTATCCTATTCAGGCTGGAAGTGCAGCAGCCGCTCATGGGCCCAATTACACTACTGATGAGCTTGGAAACTGTCACCTGCTTCATTTTCCACCTGGGCTGGTTCACCCTTCCTTAGACAGCCTGGTCTTCCCCTTATCCCCTAGGGCCCTCCATATTGGTCCCTTATTGAGTATGGACTCTTGACCTTTAGCCCTACCATAGTTCAGAACTCCTAAGCTCAAGCAGTCTACCAGCCTTGGCCCTCTCTCTACCCCCTCACTCCCCACACACACCCCAGACTCTCCAGTAGCAGGGATTACAAGTATGAGCCACCAGGTGAAACTGAGATACAGAGAAGGGAAGTAACCTGCCCAGGGTTATATAAATGACAAATAATGGTACTGGTTTCTTATATTCAAGAGTACCCCTAAGCTGTTATTTCCCAATTGTACAAATGGTGGTATTGATGAAGAATGGCTGGTATTTATATGGTGCTTCAAGGTTTGCAAATTGTTTTATATACGTTATTTCATATGACCAAATAACTTAGATGCTTGTGACCATTTACTACTAAGTATGTTCTTTATGGTCTAAAATATTTTCTGAAGCTTTATAAATAAATCTCTTTTGATGTGTCTTTTGTTCTCAGTGTCATAACCACCTTCATCATTAATGTTCTCTTTAAATAGTCACTTATTTGGGATTTACGGTAGGTAAAGCCCGTAATAAACTTGGTAGTGACAACCCAGTATCCACAATAGTGGAATTTGCCATCTGAAGACTATAAGGCTTGACTGATTTTTGACTTGACTGTTGCAGTAGCCAGTTGGTGAGTCTGCCTGTGCCAATCAAGACTCTCCCTACTCCAATCCTTCCTAGCATTCAGCCACCAAACTAATTTTCCTAAAATGCAAGTCTGACTATGTCACACACACACACACACACACACACACACACACACACACCTCCCTCCCACCCCCACTCAATAAACTCAACTGTTGTCTGCAGGATGAAATACAGAATCCTGTTTGGCATACAAGGCCTTCATAACCTAGCCCCTTCCTACTTTTTCAGCCTTCTTGTAAGTTACTTCCTGCCATGTATATATTCTTTACTGGCCTCCTTGCTTTTCCTTGAGCAAGACACTGTCTCTCATCTCCAGGCATTTTCTCTGGCAGTCCTTCATGCCTGAAATGCTCTCCCTCTGCATTTCTGCCTACTGCCTTCCCTAACTTCCTTTTAGTCTCAACTAAAATTTCATCTTCTACAGGAAGCCTTTGCCAAACCTTTTAAATTCTAATGCCTTTCTTATTTTAATTATTTCCTATTCATCATATATATTATTTATCATATTTCCCTTGTTGTGTGCCCCATTAGATTGTGAGCTCCTCGAAGGCAGGGGCTGTCTTTTGACTCTTTTTATATCCTTAGCATTTAGCACCATGCACAGCACCTAGTAGTCCTTTAATAAATGTTTATTTACTGACAGTGAGTGTTTATTTACATATTTGTTTGTAAATATGTATCATTTAAAAAGGAAATATTATTAGCACTTATAAAAACAAAAAAGTGGTAATGGGAGTTATAATCTAGAGGCAGTTAGGTGGCAGGGTAGATAGAATGCTGGGACCAGAGTCAGGAAAACCCGAGTTCAAATGTGGCTTCAGACTAGCTATGTAATTTAATTTCTGTCTCAGTTTCCTAAACTGAATAATAGAGATAATAATAGTCCTCACCTCCCAAGATTGTTGTGATGATCAAATGAGATAATATTTATAAAGTGCTTAGCACAGTGGCTGGTACAGAGTAGATTCTTAATAAATATTTTCTTTGGCTTAACATAGTGTATTGCCCATACTAGCTGTTTAATAGGTGTTTCCTTTCTTCCTTATAAACTACAATTTCCTACTGAATGATGGAATGAGTAAAACAGAAACATGTAAACCAGTTTCCTCTCCCAGAACTTTTTCCTTCATGGAGAATCCATCTATCTTTTGAATTTTAGTAAAAGTGGTTTCTAGTGTACATTTCTAGATTTTAAGATAGTGAAATTATTTAAAAAGTACAAGATTATGGTCAGTATATTGTTCCAAAGAGTATAAAGTATTCGGTCATGAATGGGATCAGGATTCAGGGACTGAATTTTGCTGTTCATTTCTTGTGAGTAAATGGATTATGTCATCTAAATTGATAGTGCATAGGATTCTGTAGGGGTCCTCTCCTTTTCTTTTCTTTTGTTTTCTTTTTTTTTTTTGCCATCTGAAGGAGCACCATTAAGTACTGACTTGTGTCCTTGCCTAGAGAGAAAATTGTTGCTCCTTGAGGACTTAATGTGAAATGGGCCATTTGGAAGATCATAGAAAATGCTTGATTTCTCCCCAAGGATAGATGGGGAGGAGAACAGTGATTTTATATTAATTAAATGAAAATTTCAGTACACTACATGGGAATTTTTAGGAGTCTTGTTAAAGATAATTATTTTTTCCCCAAGCATAAATATTATTTGTCTGGATTGTGTTTTGGCAGCTTTGTATACTGTGATGTTAGTAAACCCACAGCTTTGTAGATGGCAATCTAATATGCTCTTTTCCTTATGTTTTTTTTTGCCTCATAAATCTTTATATGCCCTTTAAGAAACTAGACATTTTTTCCATAAAACGTTATCCCATTTTAGATACCACAGAAGCATCACTAGGTTGTGCTGATGAAATGGATCTCTTTATTCAGGCTTCTTCATCATATCCCACACATTTACAAAATAAAATACAACAACATAACTTCTAAATGAGCTTCAGATATTTAAAGTTCATTTACAGAAGGCAAATCAGAAGCCCTTAGAAATGCAAGGCTATTGTTTCACATAATATTTGATAAACAGCAGTTTTCAATATGTCTGTATCTAGGATCGAAGTAGGAATAGGAGTAGGAGTACATATTTTATTTTCCTTTTAATACAATAGAAAGTTTTCTACATAAATATATTATTTTATATAGCTCTTTGAGGTTTGCAAGTTTTTCAGAAACTTTGTCTTATTACATCCTCACAACAATCCTGTGTAGTAGATGTTGTGATTATCCCAGTTTTACAGATGAGGAATCTGAGGCTCAGATAATTTAAGTGACTTACTCAGGGTCATAAGCTAGTAGGTGTCTGAGGCAGTCTTCAAACCTGTCTTCCCAGTTCCTAAGTCTAGTGCTCTATATTCACTATACCATGCTGCCCCTCAGCAGGATGATGAAGTTTTGGCATATAATTCAAGGATCCATAATTTCATTCCTGTGAAATATTTCTTTTACTAATACAGGTTACAGCCCCACATGCTTTCAATGGATCTGTGATCTTGTCAATGTGGATAATCCTTTTCAGCAGCCCTGATACCAACTCAGTCAAGCCTTCTAGGCTGTATTTTCCTGTAAATTCTCTACAGGGACGGGGTTTATTCAAGATACCAGGGGCTTTGCCCAATGCCTTTGGACACGTGGGTACCTGTGTAGCATGTGGGCTGCCCATCCTTTAGCTCTCCCTACAGTCCATCCTACAGATGATTGATTCATCTGCTTTTCCGGTTATACTTCTCTTTTTTGATAACATTTTTTATGCTGATCATTCTATTACCCTTTGAATGATACACAATTTTTATTCCTTGGAGGTTGTGGTATTCTATGATTTGCCTCCATAGATCATCACCAGAAGTTTAATGGTGTTATTAAGATTTTTTGTTGCTGAAATTACTGTGTAATTTTGCAAATGTTACCAATATTGTTTGTTATTCCTATTCAGTTCCAGACCCAGCTCATTGTACATCTACCCCTTTAAGACAGAGGTATTTATAAACCTGTTAGTTTTATGGGCTAGCCATTCAACTGTATATCATTGTTTAAACAATATAAATTCTTATCCACTTGGCTTTTTGTCTTTAAAATGATTTTGGCTCACATTTGGGGGCTCTGCAAGGTTTCAGGGTTTGATGCAATCAGCACAATGTCGTATGCAAATAGAATTGCCTGGGGGACCTCACTATCTATAGGGAATCTCTCATTAATTTGGACCATTTTATTTTTTAAGAAATGTTATTGTGAACATAACAGTCATCAACAAATAACGTTTCAGAATATACAAAAGAACAAGAAAAGGTTATATAAAAAACTTCAGATATGAACAGTTTTTAAGTGTATGTATAGATGTGTATAAATGTATACATGTATGTATATATGTTCACATATATGTAATATACACAGAGTTTAGAAGTAAAAGTGAAATTTCTCTGTTGTGTCCCCTTCTGTACTTTTTTCTTTGCATTTAAAAAATGTTTTATTGATCTTTCGTATATCTTTATGTCACTGTCTATGCACTTAGCCACCCATCCCAGCCTTGGGAAACCTCTTTATCCTTGTAATATATGTATACAGTCTAGCAAAACATAAAAAATTAAAATGGACAGTTTTGACTAAATCACTGCTAAGATCCGTTCCAGCTCTAGATTTATGATGATGATGGAGAATCCACGTGAGACATCCTCTATAAAAAAGGCAAACACCTTTGGTGTTTCCCTAGTTATATCTCAATTGATTTTAATTATCAGAGGATCATCTGTCAGTCAAATATTTCTCAAATAACATTATATTTCTTGATGTGTCTATGAAGAAATTTTGTATCATCTTAACACATATGGGTAACATATTGTTAGATAGAGTTAGCCAACAACGGGAGAGAAGAGAAGGGAATAAACATGTACCAGGTAACGTGGTAAGCATTTTTCACAAATAGTATCTCATGTGTTCCTCGCAGCAGTCTTGGGCAGTAG